AACCATAACAAAATGTAGTTGAAAATCCTACAGCTGCCCTGATATTTCTGAGATGGAATAGTTTCTTTGGCTTGGATTGGATTTTGGTTTTGGTGGCAAACTTGGCAGTGCTCTGGGGAGCCTGCCTTCCTCAATAGTGGTCAGGGATTGAGCCTCTGGCCTCGAACATGCAAGGTGGACGCACTACTGCAGAGTCACGAGTTATCAAGGTTTTAAAGGAATCATATTTTAAAAAAAGATTCAGAATTTGGTGGTAGGGTTCATGATTGCTCAACCCCACAGTAATCCACTGAGGGTCATACTTGGGTGAATACTAGGCAGCAGGGATAGAGCTGGGAACAAAAACAACTTAAAATTCTTGGGGCCAGAATGATATTACAGTGGAGAAGGTAGTTGCCTTGCACAAGGTCGACCGGGGTTTGATCCCCAGCATCCCTAATGGTCCCAGAGCCCACCAGGAATGATCCCTGAAGTACAGAGCCCTTAGCTCTTCCCCCAAACAAAACAAACCAACAGACAAAGGATCCATTGCCTCCTATCACAGTTTTCTCCTCCTGCAATCCTGCACGAGGGGGATATGTTTGAGGAAGAAGGCCACAAAGTAACTATGTTGACTGACCAAGAAGCTCACATCGTTCACTGGCGAAGAATTTAGTAAGCAAAAGTCACACTAAAATCTTCACCTTGGGGCTGGAGAGATAGCACAGCTGGTAGGGTGTTTGCCTTGCACGCGGCCGACCCAGGTTCGATTCCCAGCATCCCATATGGTCCCCTGAGCACCGCCAGGAGTAACTCCTGAGTGCAGAGCCAGGAGTAACCCTTGTGCATCGCCAGGTGTGACCCAAAAAGAAAAAAAAAAGAAAAAAAATAAAATCTTCACCTTGGCAAAGTGTGCTCTATGCTTTGGACTGTTAGACAACAGATAATATTCTTTCTACCTTATTTTCTAGAAGTAATTTGTAAGAAAAAAAAAACCAAAAACAAACCCAGAGTACTAGATTGGAAATATTGTAATAAAACTAACCATTTAAACACTGATGTTTGGGTTTGGGCTGTAGCCCAAACTACAGGGTGAGGTGCTTGCCTTACAGTGGCCTCACATGCAACTGACTCTGGGTGATCCCTGGCACCACATGGTGCCCCGAACTCTGCCAAGAGTAACTCCAGAGTTGGGAGCACTGAGTTGGGAGTAGCCACAAGCACTGCCAGATTTCCCCAAATATACACAGGGCTACAGAATCTCTGGAATTCCCTGGGACCAAAGAAGAGGGCAAGACATGTATTTTAAACATTTCAGTATGTGGGAGAATGGGTAGGTCAGGGAAGGGGACCACGATGACAGTGACGGGGAAAGTGGCCACTCTGGGGCCTGGGCGCTGGGCCACACTCAGACCTCTGATGTATGTGTATGTGATGTATGTGTACAGCAGCTAGGGCATTTGCCATGCATGCAGCTGACCTGGGCCAACCCGGGACTGACCCGGGTTCCGTCTCTGGCATCCCATAGGGTCCCACGCACTACCAGGAGTGATTCCTGCGTGCAGAGCCAGGAGTAACCCCTGAGCATCGCCAGGTGTGACCCAAAAAGCCAAAAGAAAAAAAAAAGAAAGTGGTCACTCTAGATGAGGACTAAGTGCTGAAAGGAGGTCAAGTGACATGTATGATGCCCTTTCAGCAATAATACTGCAAACCACAGTACCTAAAAGAAAAAGGGAAAATAAAAGCCTCTTCACAAAAGGCAGGCTCGGGGTGGGGGTGGGGGAGCAGGGACAGAGGTGCAGGGTTGGGGTGGAAAGGAAACTGGGGACATTGGTGGAGGGAAGGGAAAACTGGTGGAGGGAATAGCTTGAACATCGGAACTCTGAAATCATAAACAACTTTGTAATTCAGTTAAAAAATCTTGGTGTGAGGGGCCAGAGCCATAGTACAGCAGACAGGATGCTTGTATGGAAGGAATCTGCATGGGAAATGGTATGTTTATTCATCTCAGGCACCCATGGGTGTGCAATAGGGAGCTCCCTCCATCTCTGGCATCTCTTCGCTCCTTCTAGGAATCTCCTCACCCCTTCACCAGGTTGCAGTGGAGACTTCCACATTCGTGAAAGCTGACGCCAGGCCTGGAAGTGCAGACTCAGTGGTAGAGCACACGCCTTATTTTGGAGAATACAACCAGAGGTGTTCAGAGGTCACTTCTGGTGATGCTTGGGGGACCATGTGGTGTCAGGTCCCCAATGCAAAGCTTGGGCTCCAGTCCTCCATTTGATTCTGTTTTTTTCTTTTTGGGTCACATCCGGCGATGCACAGGGGTTACTCCTGGCGCATACACTCAGAAATTACTCCTGGCGGTGCTTGGGGGACCATATGGAATGCTGGAAATCGAACCCGGGTCGGCCACATGCAAGGCAAACGCCCTACCCACTGTGCTATTGCTCAGTCCCCTCCGTTTGATTCTTCTTTGAGAGCCACCCCTGGCAATGCTGAGGGGCTACTCCTAGCTTGGTGCTTAGGCATTGATCCTGGCACCCCATGGTGCTGGGGACCAACCCCCAGGACTGTGGTATAGGGGGATGAACCCCAGGCTTCTCTATGCAGAATGTCTGCTCCATCCCCTGCAGCCCTCTCCTGCCCACTCTAGGTTCTTAACCCTGGGTGAAGACTGTCTTCAAATGCCCTTCGAGTGAGCTGAATCACTGTCTGAAGCAAGTTGGCTTTCTTTTCTGTAACACAGTAATGGAAGTCCCTATCTTATACAAAAAATCGTATTACTAATAAAAAACACCCTCGATTCTATTAACTGGAGCATCTTGGGTTGGGCTGCATATAGGTTCGGAGCCATGGATGGTCATGCCAGGTGAGCCTGGGCTGTCACAGGTCTTGCAGAGTGCGAACGTTCCCCAGGACAGGAGGCCGGGTGGAAGGCAGGTGCCGAGGAGCCCTGAAGGAGAATGTGGGCCTGAAGGTCCAGAGGACAAGATGGGCATGAAGACACTGGGGACGGCAGAATAATCTGTACCTCCCCTCCTCAAATTAAGCAAAGCATTTCCAGATTGGATGCTGAAGGAAGTAAGGAAACATTTGCCTGTGTTAAGTGGGAAACTGCCACGGGAAATGTGGTCTGGGACAAGGAGCCTGGAAGGATGGGCCGAGGAGGGAAATTGCCAGGTGGGCAGGGACTGGAGAGGGGAGATTCGGGTGGGGGAGAGGGAACCAGGGCCAGCGGGGAAGAGCTTGTCTGGTCTGGGTGACGCTCCCTGGTGACGCTCTGTGGGTGGTACTCTGGATCCCACGTGGTGCTGGACACTGAGCCCAGGGTCTGCGCATGTGCTTTTCCCCTCGCCTCAGGAAAGAACTTTTATTTTTTTATTACTTATTTATTTGCTTTTTGAGTCACACCCAGCAATGCTCAGGGGTTACTCCTGGCTCTGCACTCAGGAATCACTCCTGGCGGTGTTCAGGCAACCATATGGGATGCTGGGAATCGAACCCGCGTTGGCTGTGTGCAAGGCAAACGCCCTCCCCACTGTGCTATTGCTCCCGCCCCAGCTCCAGCCCCAGGAAAGAACTTTTTTTTTTTGGCTTTTTGGGTCACACCCGGCGCTGCACAGGGGTACCCCTGGTTCTTGCACTCAGGAATTACTCCTGGCGGTGCTCAGGGGACTATATGGGATGCTGGGAATCGAACCTAGGTTGGCTGCGTGCAAGGCAAACGCCCTACCTGCTGTGCTATCGCTCCATCCCCAGGAAAGACTTTTAAAAGATACAAGAGGCAGGACTTGGTGAAAGGCATCAATTCCTCCACATCTGAGGGGCTGAGGAAGGAGAAAGGCAAGTGCAGAGAAGCCATAGAGGCTGGCAAGGAGGGAGACAGTCGGGCTGTAGCCTGGGCTTCTCCAGACTCTGAGAAGGCCCGGGGAGGGGGGATAGGGGGAAGGGTCGTTCAGCTCCAGAAACTGGGGGTAGCCCGTGGGGGGTCTTGCATCCCCTAGGCTGCCCACTATTCCCACTGCAGTCTATTCTGCAAATGATGGGCGGGCAGTGGTCTTGCGGCTGGTCACTCAACTGCAGGCCGGGGCTGCTCAGGCCTCTCCCTAACACCGAAAGGAATGCCTGCCAGGGTCCGAGGCCCAGCTCTGTGGTTTGACTTCAACTACACACTTGGGGTTTGGTCCCTAGCTACACACAGAAACACTTTTCCTAATAATCCATTTTGACTATATTTTACAAAAATACTGATCGGAAATGGACTGAGGAGAACACAAGTTCTTTCATCACAGGCAGAGAATCGCTGAATCACAGCCTGTTTCTCCTCACTAGCTTCATCCCACTAGTGTCACCTCCGCCCTGCGTATCCACAGCCTCACTGTCCCCGGCCCGACTCCCCTCAGCCCTGTTCTCCACACAGGGGCGAGGAGACAGCCAGGTGGGCCCAGCCGGCAGCCCCTGGAGCGTGTCTCCACCTGGCTGTGTCCCCAGCGCCACGTCAGTCTCTTGCGTCTAAGTCTCGCACACGCTGTCCCCGGCAGCCAGGACACTCTTTCCCCATCTCTCACCTTGGCGGGGATCCCTCTTCGGTGCGCCCACGAATTCCCAGCTGCAGTTCTTACCTTCCTCCATCTCCATCCCAACCACAAGCTGCCCAGGAGAGAGGGGTGTCAGCCCCGCGCTGGCCCCATGGCAGCCCAGATGGGGCTGAACTTGTTCAGGCTTCTGCTTGGGAGATGGGCTGGGAACCGTCCGCGGGCTTGCTCCTCCACATTGCGAGAAGGACCCAGCGTGAGGACCACCCCTTCCCTCTTCTGAAGCGCAAACAGGCCGTGCCGAGCGGGGGGCCATCTCTGAGGCTACCCGCCCCCCCAAAGCACCCCAATTCCAGGCCTATGCTGCTCAAGCAAGCGAAGGACAACCCTGCCCCTGGCTGCTCCCACCCCTTCTGAACCTGTGTCCGAAGACCCATCAGACCTTTTCCTGCCACTGCTCCGCTGGGCCAGAGAGACACTTACCTGCTCTCTGCGAGGAACTGCTGCCTCTGCCAGACGCAGTCGTGGGTCAGTGGGGGAACTGCAGGAAAGGCGGGTGTACAGTCCTATTTGTTACTGTCCTCTCTCATGCCCCTCAGTCCTTTCACAGGAGAGAAGAAGCAGAGAAGCACCAAGCACCCGGCCTCTACCCCCGGTTTCAGAAGGAAAAGCCCAAGTGCTACCGTGCACCCAGCCAAACCGGGGAGCAGCGGGCACTCCTCCCCAGGGGGCCTGAGGCTGCTGCAGTCACTGGGCCCAAGAGAGCGGCTCAGGGCAGCTTGGGGGTGGTACAGGGGTCACCTCCCGCTGAGACTGAGGTCAGGGGGCAGAGCAAACACTGAAATCAATGCAGTGAGACTGCAGCCAGCAGTGGCCTCTCAGACTCCGCTCTCCTGGTTGCAGCTCGCTGAGATTTGCCTGCCAGTGTTTTCAGTGGTCTGGAAGGCATCTGCTCTGCAGGCCAACTTTGGTCCACATTCGCACAGCACCTGTGGGAAGGCTGGTGTTCACTTGGCAGCTCCCAACAGACAGGAATTTAGAAGCAGGCCAGGGAGGTAGTTGAAAGGGCGCTGGAGATCCTGGGCGTGGCATTAACGTGGTCAAGCCACCCTTCCCGGGGACATGGGTCTCCCGGCAGCCAGGGAACTCGAACAGAGCTTGTTCACACGCTCCTCACTCTGCAGCCTGGTGTGGGTGGACATGAACGAGCCTCAGGCTTTCTGAAGGCACCCTGCACACCTGCCCAGAGCCTAAGGAGGGCCCCTTGGGAGAGCAGGGGCAGGGAGTGACCCGTAGAGGGGGGTGATCTATCTGCTTTATAGGGTTACTATGAAGAGCAAGTGAGACGATAAAGTAGCTTCGCTTCTGTATGTGTTTGAACCTCAGTTTACCAGGGTGTAACACGTCCCTTAATATCTTTGCTTGTTTCCTTACATACGAGCATGGAGCACAGCGCAGGCACATAAGTGTTCACCAGATGACAGTCCTCCCGCTTAAAAAAAAATCATGGGGGGCTGGAGTGATTGCACAACGGGTAGGGCATTTGCCTTGCATGCGGCCGACCCGGGTTCAATTCCCAGCATCTCATATGGTCCCTTGAGCACCACCAGCAGTGAGTGAAGAGTCAGGAGTAACCCCTGAGCGTCGCTGGGTGTGACCCAAAAAGAAAAAATCATGGGCCAAGGCTGAAGGGATGTGGAGGAGGGACCCCAGGGGCACAGTTCAGGCAGCTCCAACCAGCTGAACGAGGCAGTCAGCACACAGGGACTAGAGATGTAATCTCTGCGAAGAGTCAATATGACTTGGCAACTGATTAAACAACCCAGGGACAGAGAGTAGTGTCCATGTGACACAAATCTGCAGGAGGAACTTACTTGCACCCCCATGGAGGGCTATCAGAGGGGAGAGTTAAGTGAGGGGGGAGGGTGGGTGAGGTGACACAAAAATAAGTAAAAACCACATCAGTTTAGCAACAAAAAAACTACAAACAGGTCTTAATGGGTCTAAAGGAAAGGCTAAACTGAACGTGGTGGAGTGTGACTTGAAGACAGAAAGCAAAAGAGACTGCACAGACGCCACCTGAGGCTCCATACACAAACTCCAGAGGAAAGCCCTGAAGAAAACAGGGCACGTCCTTGGGGCTGGAGACACAAATCACAGAGTTGAGTGCATGCTTTATAGGTGGGAGGCCTAGTAGGATGAGAGGGAGGGAGGAAGAGAGAGAGAGGGGGAGAGAGAGAGAGAGAGAGAGAGAGAGAGAGAGAGAGAGACAGAGAGAGAGAGACAGAGAGAGAGACAGAGAGAGAGACAGAGAGAGACAGAGAGAGGAGAGAGAGAAATGTGCCATATTGGGGCTAGAGCGATAGGCACAGCAGGTAGGGCGTTTGCCTTGCACACAGCCAACATGGCCGACCCAGGTTCGATTCCCAGCATCCCATATGGTCCCCCGAGCACCGCCAGGAGTAATTCCTGGGTGCATGAGCCAGGAGTAACCCCTGAGCATTGCCGGGTGTGACCCAAAAAAGCAAAAAAAAAAGTGACATATTTCAGCAGAGGAAATTATGAAGGAGGGAAGAAAGGTGAGCTGATTGATGGGGATTGAGCAGGAAGTAGACATGGACTTCAAAGCATAAGGGAAGGTCAGTTTTAGGGAGATTATTGGCAAAAAAAAAAAATGAAGGTTGAGTTGGAGATTGTACAGAAGGGATATGCACTTGCCTTGCTGTCCTGGATTCAGTCTCCTGCACCCCATATGGTCCCCCAAACTCTGCGAGGAGTGATTTCTGAGCACAGAGCCAGGAGTAAGTCCTGAGCATTGCCAGGTATGGCTCAAAACGCAAGGGAGAAAGACCCACCATAATCAAATGTTGGTGGTGCAGAGAGGAGGAGTGCTTACACGTTGGAAAAGCACATTTTGTTAGAGGGGCAAAATGGTACCCTTTAAAAATAAAGCCATTCTTGGGGCTGGAGCAATAGCACAGCAGGTAGGGCGTTTGCCTTGCACGCGGCCGACCCGGGTTCGATTCCCAGCATCCCATATGGTCCCCTGAGCACCGCCAGGGGTAATTCCTGAGCGCAGAGCCAGGAGTAACCTCTGTGCATTTCCGGGTGTGACCCAAAAAGCAATAAATAAATAAATAAATAAAATAAAAATAAATCCATTCTTGTCTAAAAGCAAGGATGGGCTTGAGGCCTCCCTCCTCTCAAGCAGTGTCCCACGATGAATATGGAATCTGCAGCCCAATTTCCCCACTCTGGAGTCCCCCGCATCCAGCTTGAGAGCACCATTTCTCTTCCCTCATATTTCCTAAATAAAACTATTTTCACTTGAAAACAACACACACAAACAAACCCTGTTGACTAAGGAGCCACCTTAGGCATAACAAGAACAGGATCGTCACAGGAGTCCCTGGATGCCTCATGTGTATTAAAGTTGACAGCCGGTGGCTCTGGAGTGTGGCTTACAACTTTAACTGCACAAGCTTCACCAGGAAAACTTAAAAACATCCCAATGCCAGGCTATAAAACTCAGACCAATGAAAGCAAATACTCAGGCATCAGATCCTGTGAAAGCCAAGAATTTTATACCCACAACGAGCAGCCCAGGTTGGCAACCTCAGTTTAGGGCTTTGCAAAGCCAAATATAAGCTTACTTAAGTTTGCTGAGGCTGGAGTGGTAGTACAGCAGGTAGGGCTCTTGCCTTGAATGTGGCCGACCCAGGTTCAATCTCTGGCACCCCATCTGGTCCCCTGCTCCAACCAGAAGTGCTGAGCACAGAGCGAGGGGTCAGCCTCAAACATCTCCAATGTGCCCTTTCCTGCACCTCCCAACTGCAACAGCAGCTGCAGATGTCAGACAGTAAAGAGACTATTGGGATTAAGTAAAATGCTGGGTAAGAACCTTCAATAGCTCAGAAAATGAGGGGTGAAATGTGCAGGAGGCAAGCAGAATAGAAGCTGTGACCAGGAAAGCAGAGGGACAATGGGGAAAATGTCTCAATTTTGTGGTTATCCTGGTCCTGCTCTCTCATCTGTGGCTTGGATTGGAGGAGCAGAGTACATAAACCAACGCTGACCAGCTGCATGGGCTGAATTTCCAGTCTTTCTGATGTTCTGACATGTGTCTGCTTTGAACAAAATGCTATGCTCATATGTATCTGAGGACTAAAATAAAGGTGAAGTGCTTGCCTTGCAAGTGGCTGATCTGGCTTCTACCTCCGGCACCACATTTGGTCCTCCAAGCCTGCCAGGAGTGCTCCCTGAGCACAGAGCCAGGAAAGAGTCTTACGCACAGCAGGGTGTGCTCCTGACTCCAAATATACGTGCTAGGTCAGTGCTCTTAAACTTTAATTTGCAGGTCGTTGAGGATTGATTATAGTCAGTCTAATTTAGTCACCCTGGATGGGAAGCCAGAATTTGCATTTCTGCTGACGGTCCAGAGAACACACTGGGAACTAGTGCTGAGCTGCGTGAGGGGGAAACTTGTCAGCAAAGCTGACTGAGCAGAGAATGGCTTTTCCCAAGCATGTATCAATTCTTTTTTTTTTTTTTCTTTTTGGGTCATACCTGGCGATGCACCGGGGTTACTCCTGGCTCTGCACTCAGGAGTTCCTACTGGCGGTCTTAGGGGACCATATGAGATGCTGGGAATTGAACCTGGGTCGGCCTCGGGCCTTGTGCAAGGCAAATGCCCTACCTGGTAGGGCTGTGCTATCACTTCAGCCCCAAGCATGTATCAACTCTGCAGATCTCTGTTGCCTCTGGAAAATGCCAGTACTGTCCTGCTGAGTACTCAGGACTTAGTAGCCAGCATCACTAGTTTAGACTAGTTAAAATAGAACCAGGGCTCTGTAACCAGAATTCAGGGAACACGAGGCAGAGACTGCCGAATGAAACCAAATATGAATGGCAAGCCAGCCTCAAAACAGCAGATCCAAATTAAACAGCTCAGACACCCACCCTCCTGTAATGATTAAGCTGCAGTGAGGATAAAAATGTCTTCATCTACTTTAGCCAACTCCCATTGCCAGTTTTTCTGCTCTTAACTATGAAGTATGACCAGAGGAAACAATTTCCGTACAGTTGCTAACTAAACAAAATGCTAGTATTTTAATAAAATACTTACAGAAAACTTGGCAGCAAGCTAGGCAATCTTCATCTTACTTCTCAGAGTGTGCACAGGTCTTGGATATCCGTTTTTCTACTAAGAACTCAGTTCCTTCCCAAAGCAAAAACCTTGGGTCCACTCCAAGAAATGGACTTCACTGAAAATATTTGGTGGCTTTGACTACTCTAAGGCTAGTCTATCCTTGTCATATACTGTCCAGGATGAAGTTCAAATCCAAGATTGTAGGCGCAAGTTGTGATTTCCCAAACTTTTCAAGGCTGTGCAAATTTATATGCACACCATGGAGGCAGATTGAGGCTGGGAACTTGCACACCAGAGCCAGCTTTGGGGATTTTCCAGCCGCCTTCTTGGCAAGTAATTCAGTTCAGAAGGTTTTGCTATTGCCTGTGGAAACTAGAATGAGCTGTGGTGGCAGAAAGGAGACTAGCAGATACAAAAAAAATTCTTTGGGGCCGTGGCTCAGTAGTGGGAGGCCTTTCATGTGCAAGGTCAGGACACAAACCCAGAGAGAACTGTGGGGGGGGGGCGGGACAGTGCACTGGGACTTTCTGAGTTGCTGCCCCTTCCTGCCTGCCTGGAATCCAGTCATGAGGT